GTGCTGGCGGCGCTGGGCGGCGCTGGGCGGGGGGGTAGCGGCGTGCGGCCGCCTCGTTCCCGCGCAGTTCTGTCAGGCTTCGGGGGGTACCGGCTCGGTCCTTATGCTGGGGCTGCGACAGCATCACGTCCCCGTACGGGCGGAAACCGAAAGCCCGGCCTCACGGCCTGTCTTTTCTCTGTCCCCCGCTGTCATGATTCGCAAGTGGCTTGTCTGACAAACACCTGACGGCGTTTCTGTGCTGACGAAGGAACAAAAGGCAGAGGTTACAGCTCACGGTGCTCCGTTGACAACCAGTTCTGGCTAAGGCCAAACGATAGGAATGACAGTGCAGGTATTTTGCTTTCTAAAGTTACTGATTGCAGTTGAACAGTGTGTCAGTTCAGAAGTCTGTCAAAAAAGATAATATTTGAATAAGTAAGTTAGGATTTGGCCACCAGAGATTGTGGGTGTGCTAAGATAAATCCAAAGTCAAGAACGGGCTGAAATGCTTGCACCCTGAAGGATCAAGAGTTCAGAAGATATGAGCCAAATCAAGATTTGATTCCTTCCTTTGGAGAAGGACAGTTACCATAAGTGAACTCTTGGCATTGAGAAGGTACCAAAACAATGAGTCTGTGCGCACACAGAGACACTGTTGAAGCTTCTGGGTTTTTTAAAGGGAAGTGGTAGGTTAAGGGCTTGCTCAGCTGAGAGCTTCTTGCTTGAGGGCGTGCTCAGCCGAAAGCAGGCCACAGCCGGAGTTGTCATGGCTTAAGGCTCTGGCCACTCATAGACAGACTTGATGGATAAGAAAGAGACAAAGCACAGGGGCCCAGGTGAAGTGGGGCTGCAAACGGACCGGCAAGGGAAGGTTTGGGCTGCCAAAAGATCCTTCCCTCAGGACTTTTTCATCTTGGTCCTTGGGGTCCTTGTATAAGGGTCAGCCCATGGCTATGGTTAGCATTACATTATGAGAGACAAACCCTAGTGGCATATATGGAGTGAAGCTGCAAAGGTAGTGCCAAAGGGAAGTTTAGCTGCAAATAAATGTCCCTTAACAATTTTTTATTTTGGCGATTTTTATTATTACTATTACGTTGTTGTTGCTGTTGTTGTTGCTGTTGTTATTTATTTGAGGTCTTAGGGTTAGGCTCAGCACATGCCTTGGGTTAAGGCTAGGGTTGAGTTCGGAGAGAGACAAAGCCTAGGGGTCTTGGTGGAGTGGGACTGCAGAGAAGCTGCCAAGGGAAGGTTTCCGTGGCAGAAAGTGGGTTCCGGGCAATTTTAGGATTAGAAGAGAGACAGTTCCTAGGGGTCTGGTTGTGGTGGATCTGCAAAGGGGCTGCCTAGGGACAGTTTGGTCTGCAGAAGCATTGCCCTCAAAGACTCTCATCAGGGCCATGTTTGGGTTTACCTGGGGTTGAGGCCCTGGGCACATTTAAGGTGAGAAGAGAGGCAGTTCCTAGGGGTCTAGTTGGACTGGGGCTGCTGGGGAAAGGACTGGGCTGCAGAAGGAATTCTCTGGGGACTTTTTTATCTGGGCCATGTTTGGGGCTGTCTGGTGTTAAAACTCTATGCGCTTCCAGCATTAAGGTTCAAACAGAGACAAAGCCTAGGGATCTAGATGAAGTGGGGCTGCAGACAGGCTGCCAAGGCGAGGTGTGGGCTGCCAAACCAGTTCTCTCCTCAGAACTTTTTATCTGTGCCATGTTTGGATTTTCTGGGCTTAAGGGCTACCTGGCCACTTTTAGGGTTAAGATTAGAAGAGAGACAAAGCTGAAGGGTCCTGCTGTGGTGGGACTGCAGAAGGGCTACAAAGGGCAGGTTTGTGCATCACAAAGAATTCTCCCCTGAGAATTTTTCCATCTTGGCCATGGTTTGGGATATTTGGCTAAGGTCAGCCTACAGTTAAGATTAGGGCTAAGGTAAGGGATATGGTTTATAAATGTTACGAAGTCCCGGTGTGAGTTGTTTGGGGGGCAGGTGCTGATAAGGATTTGAAATGGGAAGTATTGGGATGAAGAAAAGAGTTCTCCCCTGCAAAGGAATTCAGTCCTGAGAGATCCTAAACAGAGGATTAGTAGTATAATAGATCTTTAGTTTCATGAG